AGTAATGCTCCTAGTCGCTTCATGCTATGGATACCGTTATGCGTTCTGGCTGGATGGTCCGTTCGAGTACAGACCTTTACGTTTTAGTCTCCTGAGTTTGTACTTCTGTTGCCACTATAGATTGTAAAGGCGATTTTTAGAGTCCCTCGCGTAGTTGATGCTGACCGAGTTGTGTTTACCTCCAGATGCGCAGTTAACACAACAGCTCAAGAACGACAAGCAGTGGAAAATGCTTTGGAAGGTTTCTGTGATTCGCTGTCCAGTAGTTTATTCGAAGAGTCGTCTCATGTTCAGGTATGCTTCTAAAGTAGACTGGAGTAAAGCAGATTTTAAGCTAGGAAGGAGCTGCAAGTCTTGAATTATTCGACAAAAGTACATGTACTCAGCACAAAAACAAAGATGGCGATTGCGTGATCAAATGTAGATTTTAGGCCAAAAAAATCATGGGAAATCTTCACTAAAGAAGAGTTAACTCAGTCATCACTGCTTTAGCTTTCATTCAACCCATTAACTCCTTATATCCGAAGTGTAATTCTCTTTTCTAACAGCCGTAAATTTCCATGTAAATGAACTAAGAAAATTTGATGTTATCAGTATATCAGATATCAGTCAATGAGTTTTTTATTCGAATCACCTCTTTGCTGGACAGTGTATCGGAGAACATTGGCCTAACAACAGGGTTGTTTTTTATAGCACCCAGACTACACGCCATCTGCAGTGAAGACCCATTATGAGGTACCTCTCCCAGTTAATTACATAAGCAGGTGCCTACCCACAGTGCCCTACACACATGAGGACCATCCTAAGTAAGTCCGAGATTTATGTCCCTCGCTAATTCAAGTGTCAGAAGTGCTGGTTTAAAAAAAAGATTTCAAGCAACGTTTACGCGGAAAGACAACTGGCAAGAACTGGACTTTTTTTCCACTCTTAGGGTATAAGTAGATCTTTAGAAAGTTTAGAGATCTAAAAAGGTGAATGAATTTGCGAAACAGTAACGATTTTGAGGAAAAAGTTACCCTATTATTGGCCGTCGAATTTACACAGGCGACTGTATGAACCGGATAGCTTTTTGGAACACTTTCCGGGATTTCATTCATAGGTTTAGTTGGAAGTTCCCATGTCACATTATAGCAATAGTTTGTTTCATAGTGTCCAGCCCTCTTCCTTATTAACCCGGTCCAAACTGAACCTCTACGTTTACTTGTCTACGCGCTCTTTTTACTTACCTTTTACCTTGTCTTGCTTCACTTTCACCCTATCTAGATTAAGAATTTTGGCCAAACTCCTCTCGGCGAAGTTTCTTCACCGCGAAATAAGGTACAGTTTTAAACCGCCAACAAACTGATGTAAAAACAACCATCGCAGATATTTTGAACAGAAAGTTTTGTTCATTATATTTTTATGCAGTTTCTACCCCCGTCTGTTTCTACAATCCTGTCTGAAGTTCTTTCTTGTAGGAAATCTCAAAGTTTTGGATCTAAGGAGCAGCAGCAATTTTCTTTTTTGTGAAGTGGAGATTATTTCGAAAGTCTGTTTCTGAGACAGAATTTCGTCTCCCTTAAGACGTCAAGCACACTCAGATTGGTTTGAATTGAAGGGCTGATTGCGTCCGTACAATTAGTTTCACTGACTTGTTTCGAAGAAGTACGCGTCGAAGCGGTTCATCGCACAGACCTTTCGAAGTGACTAGTAGCTTCTTGTGTCCCGATCATAAAACGTGGCTCAAATTTCTGCAGGTACAATCAAGCAAATTCGGTGTGATGTTTATTATTTTGTTTCCGTTTTTTCAGGGAGAAAGGTGGAGCGTATGGCAGTGGTGCTAAGATGGGAGGCGGTATCTTCTCATTCTACTCCTACAGGTAAACCTGCGCGTTTTTTGTGAGGTGTGCTTACGTTGCTTATTTAGACAGACCGCTTTACAAAGGATTGGGGCAGGTGATCTTCGTTGTAAATGATCTTTTTCCTAGTGAGAAGCGATAGCTTCTGGCGAAGACTCTGCAGCATTAGTTATAAATTTGCAAGGTCTGTTTTTCGTTATTTTGCCCTCCATAAATTTCATACAATCTCCATAAACTCTTCAGTCTTTTTACCTCTACCTGATTGACGGCGCCTTTTTTTTTGCAGAGATCCTAATTTCGAAGGTACGCTGTCAGCCTTTGAGGACTCCATTCAGTGGGCGCTTGAGGGAAAGTTTACAGACCAAGACATTGAGGAAGCAAAGCTTTCTGTTTTCGCCGAAGTAAGCATCAGATACGACTTTACTTCAAGAGCATTCGCAGAAACTTTCGTGACTTATTTATCTTCATGGTCTGTTCAAGCCGACCAATCAGAAAATCAGTTACAGTAAATGAAGTGTTTATCGAGTGGTATTCACTGGATAACTCCAGCTGATTCTAATGCACTTATATCCTCTCAGGTCGACAAACCAGTATCACCAAGCAACCGAGGCATGCTGTACTTTACTCAAGGTGTGACAGATGAAATGCGCCAGGCAAACAGAGACCGGCTGTTTAACGTGACCAGGGATGACGTCATTCACGTGGCACGCACGTGAGTATCGCAAGTTTCAGATAGGTTATCCAACATGTTTTACGTGTTGTCCTGTTGATAATGGTATGTTCGTTTTAGGTACTTGGCCTCCTCAGACGTTCCCAATGCAGTAGCAGTGCTAGGGCCTGGAAACAACCTTACAGCCAATGATAGTTCGTGGATTGTAAGAAGAGAAAGCTTGAGCTGATTTCGACATCGCTGTAGGATTACTGTGACATATTCTAAATGGGCGTCCATGATTAAAGACCGCAACTGGAGATCACTGTTGGCAACTAGGATACACATTCACTCTGTTGGGTATGGTGAATGAGCGTTCGAAACCTAAGGAGGTGGTGCCAGGAGAGGAATGGAAATATCGATGAAAAGCCCCCCTTCCCCCCTACTACTCATCAGCACACGTCGTGAACAAGATTTAAGCTGAGAGTGAATGAAGCTTCTCTCAGAAATGTCGACGAGACAGATTTGACTTGTTATCCGTCTTCAAGCAAATCTAGCTTGAAAACAATGTCCAAATGCAGTTCGTAGACCAATTCCTGATTATCCGCCACACAAGAATTCTCCGTTTGATGATAAACGTGATACCAGATCAAGCCACCATAACACGCCTGATTATTTGCTACTCTAACTTGAGAAACTGAATTTGTTTCTAACCGTTCTGTCTTCTTCAAGAAATAAAGTTGAAAAACGAGACGACTGATGAATTCTCTCTTTATTCACACGGCCATTGGAAGTAAAGCAATAAAGGAAATATTCTCCTTTTTAATCAAACCAAGGTAATTTTCATACAGAATGTCACAACTGCAGGAATTCATGCTTTTTGCGAAGATGGATGCATTTAAAAAAATCTGACTCGATTACGCGTTTAAGAAACCTTGTGTTATGAAACATTTAGTTATTTAGTAAATGGTTATTTAATTTTCTTTTATATTTAGAAAGTATTTAATGTATGAATTCGATTTCCGAAGTTATTTAGGTTTGAGCTGTCGTGATGAGTTTCCGAATTGTGACAGCCTCTTCTAACTCAGTTTGTTTACAGTCCTTGCTATTACTGCTGTCAAACGAGTGTCTGAAAAATAACGATGACGGGTTTTTTTTTTTGCTCGGAAAAAAATCTAGTCTACAAAGTATGAAATTTGAAAAATAGGCGTCAACAAAAAAATGTGCTAGTGATACTGACTTCCCATTGCGACTTTGCGCTAAAAGTGCGGAATTCATCATCCTAAGGAAACTTGGAAGTATGGTATAGATTAGGTATCGGGAATGAATTATCCCTTATCGCTCGATAGCACCTTGGAAACCCTTGTCTTGCTTAATATCGCAACAAATTTGATTACACTTTTAGAGGAAAAGAAGCCTTTGGCAAGAAGCCTATCTTTGCTTACTACGCATTTGATAACTGGCGAGGTTAAAGACCTCTTGTCAATACCTTTTTCTTTCAAAAAGCACAAAAAAAAAACCTTTCAAAGAGCATCTAATATTACGAGCCAGAGTGACAAAAACAGGGTCCGAACATGGAGCGTTTCCAGTTGGTACATATGTTGTGCTGTACCTTTCTTTACTTCACTGTGAACGCAAAATTACAATCTCAAGTAAGCCTAGTTAATGAATTGATTGTAATGAACATTCAATAACTTTCATGGTGAAGCTTAAGTCTCTGAGACCATGCCTCTTGCAATCCTTCCGTTGTTCCTTTTCCTAACACACGGCCGGCTAAAATTGGTCTCATTTGTCTATCAGCCGTGAATAACCACGAGTATCTGGAACTATCTATTCCGACCTCAAATTCAGTCGTGAACAAAGTAGTAAACTCATTCTTATTTTTGCAACTGAGAGAATGGAGACTGATGGGTTTCTTTGATCTAAAAGGCGCATTTCATGAGTTGTCAACACTGCACACCTCGCTTCGTTAGAACGCAACGTTTGTATTAGGATGGTGAGTCGGTAAAGGTATGAAGAGATATGTCACTATGTTCGGCAAACACAGTTGATGAATGTGTGCTCAATTCTGAATCTCTTGGCAGAAATATTTTCAGAAAAGGTCCATCGCCATATGACTGGTTTCGCACAAATGGATTAAATACAAGGTTTATTGAGAAAGAGACCATCTTTACAAAAACCTTGAACTGACGCTTAAAAGTGAAAGAAAGGCAGACATTTTCCTCGCTTAATTTTTTTCATTCAATCTCTCGAGTCCATGCACTTTATCAAAGGAGTCATTTACGCCTACCGTCCAGATGTTATTATGACCACAATTGTACCGTTATCTAAGGTTGTCGCGACCATACACGCAGGAGAGCACGTGTTTATCTCAGCAAACATTTCAAAACTTCTAACACAAGGAGGTGGCCCAATGTTTTCTCTCATGAGGAATTAATTGTCTTAAGATTTACTAAATTTGAGACATTTCGTATCAATTTTATTTATGCCGGGAACTTCACCCTAGAAAGTGTTAATAGACAGCTTTCCGTGCTTATAAAGACATAATTTTTCTGGGTCGAATCCCACTCGATTTGTTTGCACTTGCGTGCGCATTCCACTTAAAAAGGTATGCCACGCCCCTTGCGTTTGGCAGAATAAAATTTACCCCCCTCACGAAAAAAAGTGACATTTGACCGCAAGTAAAAAGAGCATGAGCTGTTTAGAGCTTCCCACGTGCTTTCAAATTCAAGACCTCCAAAGGCTGTCGGGATAGAACACAATAAGCAAAAGTTATTGAAAACTTCCTTCACAAGACCACACACGATTTCCTTTTGTAAAATGGCGATACATATTTACTCTTAATGATTGGTTTATCCCACCAATGCAATGTAAAAAAATAAACCATAAATTACGCAACTCATCTTTTTAAATCAGGTTTCCTGTGGTTGCCATGGAAGGGATGGGCGTGATGGTAAGTTTCCTTTTTTTCGTGTTAAAAAGCTGTAATGTGATAGACATAACGTCAGGGTATCAAAGAGCGCTTTTCATTCAACTAATTTTATTCTTGTTTTTTCGTCACCATGTTCCCACCAATAGCATAGCGTAGCTCCATTTTCTGCATATATACACACACACAACTCACAATTCCTCCACTCGCTATGATGAAGGGCTAACGCTCGAAACGTCAGCTTTGAAACTCTTTATGGTGGCCAATTTACGTCATCAACTCAGTTGTTAATACTTAACTACCCTGTTATACTCTCCCACCGACGCATGCAGCACCACAGTTTCTCTAGAAGCTTACTCCTTTTATTCATTTGTAGTGTGATACGTCAGTCAGTTCAAGATACCTATATATGTGATAAATAAACATTACAATTCGCTTTTTCATTTGATTTCTGATTTCATCTCCTCTCTCTCTTGTTAATTATATTAAAATAAAAGTGCCAATCAAATTCAAGGACATACAGCTTGATAATGATTATGGTGAAATGTTTTTCCTCTCATAGGAAGAGATGGCTTGAGTGGAAGGGATGGTGTTAAGGTTAGAGATTTTTTTAATTTAAACATACTTTTGATTGTTTTCCCCAAAAGCACCTCGGCTTAACGAGGGGGATTACAATGTAACAAATTTTGATTTAATCTATTCAGGCTCACACCTCAACAAACACACAAACAACACACCAAATGTGATAAGATCCAGTTTAACTTACTAAGCTAGGGATATATCATTTAACCCTCTAAGTCCCAGATCAAATTTGCAATTCTCCTTACTATCAACCATACAATTCTTGTAATGTTAGTTCAGAGAATTCAGTATTGGATCAACTAATTATTCCCAAATTGATATTTTTTTTTACTCTCAACACCTATCTGATTGATATTGTATTGCTATTGTAAAGAGAACTTATCTCTTGGTCCCTAATGGGAGTTAAAGGGTTAAGGCAATTAAACAATGGCTACCAAAAAGCGATTAGTATTGTTTATAAACTTTCCTACTTCGCGAAAAAAAGTACATTTGATGTCGTAATTTACAGACCCAACATCATACAATAAAAAATTAGTTTCCTTGCATCGCTGCTCGATGACCATGTTTCACCAAGAATATTAGCAGCAGAGGTAAGGACGTTGCGTTGAGCGACATACCTTGGGCAATACAAGAAAATGCGTTTCACCGATTCGCCAAGTTTTCTCTTGATTTGAGACGGAAATGTGTACGTTCAGTAGATATTTTGGGCAATAGTTCAGTTAGATAACGTGGAGTAAGATTCTTGGCTATCTTGTAAAATTGGCTTAATTCATGTGGTTCTTTCCTAATACTAAGAGGCTCCCGAGCAAGTCCGTGATGTAACTTCGCAGAACTTCTGTTTACAATATTTATCCACAGTTATCCCGTTGTTTTACTTTCGTTCCAATTGTGAATCCCGATTGCTGCCTACTTCGCTATCTATATATCTATGTATTTGCTTACCTATTCATTTGATTGTTCAATTTTCTGTGTGGTAATGCATGTGTAATGAGCCATTAGGTCAACATATCTAGCTTTGTGTCTATTTGTGGGTCTCGTTTGATTGTTCTTTGCGTACTGTCTGATCAGTTTGTTTGTTCGAGCAGGGTGACCAAGGTGATCAAGGAACAACTGGCCAGAAAGGCGAACCGGGAGTATGCGATGTACAAGTATGTAAAAGCAGTACCTTCTTTTGCACTCGGAGCGGATAAAACTCTGCCTGAGAGTGGCTAATGATAAATAGAGAGAAAACAAATTGCACTCGCATTTTTTAACATTACAATTTTCTTTGATATTCAACCTTCGTGTATTGTGGAAAAATGTAATTTCTCATTGACTGCCGAAAGTTCGTGTAATACGCAATCCCATGAAGGGCGGGTTCTTGTCGCTCCAAAGGGAAATGGTCAGTTAAGCCGTTGTAGTCTGAACAAGGGTATAGATTTGGCCGTTCAAAAAACTTATCAACGTGTTTGTCTTTTTACTTCTAAATGAATAACTCTAAATAAAGTAACCAAAATATCGTTCGAGGTGAACTTTGGGAAGATATTATTTGGTACTAATACTGGTTCAATTGTGCTACAAAGATCGCAAACCAAGTTACAAATTCCAGAGTTCAACTCTAAAAACGGGTGTAAAAAATAACATCTTTTGCCGGCTCTGAGATGGAACTGGGCGGCACCCTTGTAAAAATTCCGATGAGTAAGAATAAATTCGTGAAGTATCTTTTATTAGAAATTACAAAATCTAGTCGCAAAATTTACTTTGCCTCTGCGATTAAAGAGAAATCAATTAACAGTTGACAGACCGGCTCGTGACCTTGTTTTCCAGGAACTTGAGGCGATCAAGTCAAAGCTGGAAAAGCTAACTCAAGAATTAGGAACACTCAGAAACGTAAGAAATTCATATTTTCATCATTTTTCTTAATTTAGAGCGCAGAAAATGCCGCATACCAACATCATGTGATCTTTCTCCACTATAACATACCTCTGTTATTACGAAGTATAAATGCCAACAATGCGTGCCTGTTCAGAAATGAAAGGAACTTGAACTAGTTTTATAACAAAAAATCTAGAGTGACATTTAGGGTTACGTCCTTCACACAAGTTAGTTGTACTTTTAAATGTGTGTGTTCTCTTCACCTGTATTTAAAAAGGTACACTACGCTTTTACTTCAATGGCGTATATGATTACGTTTATTCATTCACTTTTTCATCCGTTTTTCTCTTTATTTATTTCTTTTCCTTTTTTTACTTCCATAATTTTCCAA